AAAAAAAAAAAAAAAAGAAAGAAAGAAAGATCGAGATCGGAAAATATAAAAAAAGATTTTAAAAGAATTATATATATATATATATTTTTTAAAAAAGAAATTACTTTTTAATATTTTTGAGGAGAGGTGATTTTCTTTGTGAATGAAATCGGCTTAGCTTAAGTGGCTAAAATTATCATATTATCAGTTATATATATTATATAATATTATTATTATAGTGGTTTATAGCAGTTAAATTTTGATTCGGAATTTTTAAATACCCATCAGTTGCTTATATATTGTAAAAAGTAAAAAAATAAATATAAAGACGTTATGCCATATTTACTCTAAAAAATCAGTATGTTGTAGAAAAAAAAATAGTAAATAGTACATTGTATAAAAAATAGTATATTGTTAGTATATTGTAAAAAAATAGTATATTATATTGTATGATATATTGTAAAAAAAATGGTTCAATAAACTAGATAGTGTTATATTTTTATAAATATTTTATAGGAAATATATATAAAACTAATTTTAACCAGGGTGATTTAACCTGATTATTAGTAATATAATATCCAAATAAATAAAATCTATATAAAGTGAAATGAATAATAACACAAATAATTTTTTTTTTTAAAAAAAAAATAATGTAAAATATAAATCTTAAAGGGGTAATTTAACCCAGGTTATTTAACCCAGAGGGCAAGTTAACAGTTAAATGTAAAATTGTTAATTTATAATATTATAACTTATAAGAATACCATATTAATTAAATTATATTATATAAAGATTTATTATTTTAGATTTTTATCTTATTAATTTTATATATTAAAATTTTGCTTTTATAAATTCTATTATTAATAAAAATAGCAAGTAAAAAAAAAACTAATAATAAAATTATTTTTAAAAAATTAGAGTTTTTAAAAAGATATTTTTTCTAATACTTATATCAAATTAAATAAAATATGGATAATAAAGATGCTGCCCAAAACTATTTTTCAGTTTTCAAAATTAAAACTGAAACTAAAACTAAAACTTATTTGAAACTTCAAAACTATTTTAAAACTCCCAAAATTAGTCTAAAACTTCTGAAACTAGTCTAAAATTCCAGAAACTAGTCCAAAACTTATGCAGATTTTAAAAAAAAGCTGTTAAAATAAAAAAAAATCATAATAAAAACATTTTTCAACATTTTTTATTAATTAAAAACCTGTATCTATTTTTTTATAGTTCAAAGGTGTCTTTGCACCAGGTTTGTTAATGCATTCTCATTGCACTGCGGGGTGGTTGACCTATTTTTTGTATTTTTTGTAATGTAGAATACCTATTTTGTATGAAAATTAAATGTCATAATTAATAAACTTTAAATTAAAAAAAAAATCAATTAAAAACTATTACTAAAAAACAGTTTTCTTTCAATAATAGAAAACTATTGTAAAATAATTTTCTTTAAATTTAAAGAATAAAAACTATTTCAATAGTTTTTTATTAAATAAAATAATAAAAAAATATTTTACAACATTTTTTATTATAATAATTAATAAAAACTGTTGCAAAATAGTTTTTTTCTTTAAATTAAAAAATAAAAATTATTTGTAATAGTTTTTCATTAAATGTTTCATAACATTTTTTATTACAATAATTAATTCGTGATCCGTCTTCAAACCAGTGAAATCTACTAATACATTTTGGAAAATTATTTTGCAAATTAATTTAGTGGGAAATTCAGATAAGAGCAATAGATATAACATGCAGGAAATGTAAAATGAACTTACAAATTATTAGAGAAAAGTAGTTTAGAAGAACTGCAAAATTACTAGATACACCACTCAATATAAGCAAAATATAGCACGACCTGTGTTTAATAGAAATAAATAATTTTAATACTTTTTTTTTGTTTTTTCTTGTTTATAACCTTTAAATAAATTATTTACCAGCAAATAAATAACATTTTAATAAAAAAATATCAATTTTGTGATTGTCACACCTCTTATATTGAATAATTATGGCATTTTTAAAAGCTGGAATTCAGTATTGCTAAAGAAAAATTTTTTTAACTAATTGTTCAATGTAAAAATTTTTGATGGATCCTGATTCCCTCGGTTTTAAGCAATTGGTTACACTATTTTTCAGCCAGGTTGTAATACAAATTTGGCTGGTTACTTTTTAAGCAATATCGCCAATTTGTATAACAACGTAGCCTTAAATGGCAAATATATGTTGATCAAACTTGTGATATTAATATTTGACAATGCAAATTTATCATTCAATATACCCAGAACATTATTATATAACACTTAAAAAAAAAAATTCTAGGTAAATCAGCTCAAAAGCTATTTAAGTGATAATTAATTTGCAAAACCAGTTTCCTGAAATTTATTAGTAGTTTTCATTAGTTCGAAGACAGATCCCGAATTAATTTTATTAATTTTGAATTTTTTTTATTAATTTTAATTAGTTTTATTAATTTTAAATTAATTACCAGTTTTAGATTAATTTTATAAGTTTTAAATTAGTTTTATCAGTTTTAGATTAGTTTTATCAGTTTCAGATTAGTTTTACCAGTTTCAGATTAATTTTACCAGTTTTATCAGTTTTGGAAAATAAAAAAATTTCAGAAATAGTTTTACCAAGTTTCAGTTTTAATAGTTTCAAAAACTACTAAATTTCAGGCAACATCTTTAGGATAAATGCTGGAAAAAAGAACTAAATTGACAAAAAATATATTTTGGATTAGATGATCTTATAATCAGATTTATATTTATTTATTTATAAATTTTTTTTTAAAAAAAATTTCAATTTGATCTCTTTTTTCTACACTCATCCTATATATTATTAGTTATTAATTATATAATAATAAATACTAGGGTTTTGCAAAATTAAATCAAATTAAATATATAAGTTAATTTGTATTTTATTTAATTTTTTGAATCAGATATTTGATTTGATTTGATTAGTTTATTTTAAATTTGAATTTGATTGAATTTGATATGTTTAAATTTGAAATTGATTTGATGTTGTGTAACTTTTTTTAGTATAATTTGCTACCATAGCTCCTTTTTAAAAATTAAAAAATTTCTTTTAAATGACTATTAACGTCATTAATTAATACAGATTTTTTGAATAAAGCAGTTATTATATCAGTAATAATTTTTTGCAAATTTTTCATTGTCTTTTTTATGTCTAGTTTATTTACATAATTTTAAAAATAAAAGAATTCAAGAACGTGTACATTAAAATTTTACATATAAAGCAAAACTATAAAATATTACATTCAAATTTTGTTTTAGTTCTCCATAGGTAAACTCATTGGAAATTATAGAAAGTATACGTCTTTTTCCATCAGGAGTTTTTTTGTTGTTAGCAAGTGTACGTTCAAAACACATCCAAAATGTATGTGCTGCGTTTGGCGTATTCTTTGGAATACTAGTAAGAAAACCACTTTTATATAAAGTAGCAAATGCTACCTTGTCTACTTCTCCATTTGGTGATTTATCCATAATTGACGCTAATAAAAAAATATTTATTTTAGTGTTTGAAGATAAAAAAAATAACAATAAAAATATCACAAATTTACCGACCTTTGATTCTTCAGATAACTAAGGAGTTATATTTGTTGCATCAATTGCTTTTAGTATAGTTTGCAACGCACTTAATTCATGTTCACTAAATTCATATTCTTTTGGATATATAGTATGCAAAGCAGGTTCTAATTCAATTATTGGATTTTCAGTTTTAATTCAACTTGTAAAAAAATATTTCCAATTAGCATTTGCCAGAATTCTTCTTTTTACATGATAATCAAATAACCTTTCTAAAATATATTCATTATTTCAGTCATTAAGAGTGCATTGAGTTCGATGCTGCTGAATTAAATTTTTTGTAATTGGATTATCAAGACCATAAAGTTGTGTACCGGTAAATTTTTTCAGTTGTCCTGTTTTTTCTTACACTTCATCTGGCATTGCGCCTTTAAATTAGTTTATTAAAGCAGATTCTTGGTAAATTTTAACTATGCATTTTTTTCCCTTAATCCGTGATACAAAAATTGACTGCTTTTTTTCATACATATGAAGAAGGGATGATTGAAAACCTGAACCTGCATAACGCCATTTTTCGCGTGAAGAGGTCCTTATACCATAAATAAAAATTATACAATTTTCTACATTAACAGTAACGGAAATATGTTAAATATCTTGTTTTAAAATTTCAAGGATATTTTTGTCATTCCAACCCATTGCTTGATACTCTAAATAGCGTGTTGAAGTATTGAAACAGTTTTTATAAACTGTAGAAATAGCCTTTGTAGAACTTAGCTCTGTAACAACATGTAAACCACTTTGACAACAATACATTGGCATTAATTTGTTATTACCAGAACCAGTTTGTATAGTTAAAATGAAATCTACTTCGTTAAGACAAACTTTAGTTAGTTGTCCCAGCCTAATTGGAAATAAAGTTTCATTTTCGTTTGAAATTATCCACCAATAAAAAGAATAAAATCCATAGTGAAGTTCAGGAACTATAGTAGTATAGTTCCTGGTTTTATTAAAGTAACACGTAAAGTTTGGGCCATTATGACAGTTTTTAAAGGTTGTCAACGAGAGATTTAAATTTATTACAACTGGTTATAATGTATCTTATCCCCAAATTTACTATACACAACCCATATAATCTGATGCTGATCATTCGCGAATCACGACTTAATTATGCATAGTTAAACTTTTTCGCAATATAATAAAGCATATATGTTTTTCACGTACTGTATACAGTCGCCACTGGATATAACGAACCTGCCGTTCTAAGCGTTTTGGTTCAGTATATGGTGAATTCGATATATGATATTCATATTATATACCGAACTGTTCGGTATATAAATTTTATCTAATTAAATTATAGCAGCATATACTGTAATATTTAAAGTTCGGATGATTACATGAC